CTGGAAGAGGCTGTGTCAAGACGAATGAGTGTGAAAATTCTATCTCGCTGCTCTTCTGGGAAATTTGTTTTAAGCAGGGGATTTAAAACTCACTGCTATGGAGTTCATAGAAAAAGGTTGTTGAAGATAGGGTGTTGGGGTGAGGCAGAAACAAATTTCCATTTTATTTCCTTGTTTAGTCAGCTGAATTTGACATGAAGAGCTCTGAAAAATCAAGCTGATATGGTGAATGTTTGAGTACTAATGTTAGCTCTGTGAATGTTCTAAATGTAACAGCACACAAAAACGAGAAGATGTTATCTTGGTTCAAAGCATAAAGTAAGAGGACAGCAACTTCAAGACAAGAGTGTGTCTAGAGACAACTTTTTTTTCCCACATTTTCAAACAGAAATTATTTTTCCTTTGAGGAAGGAGGATAAGGTAGGCGTAATCATCTTCAGATGCAGAAATGGAAAGAATTTCCAGTGTAGTGATATTTCTGTCTTGTGACTAGTCAAGTTTGATAGGGATTTCATGGGACTGGGAGGAGGGTAGAAGTATGTTGCATGAATTCCAGGTTGTTTTCCCCAAAAAAATCAAAATGGCCAAGCAAAGATTGTTATCTTCAGAATAGTGACTGTTTATTTCCTATAGAAACTTAGGGCAGCAGCAGGTTCCAATTTTTTTCATTCTGAGTGATTTTTTTCTGTTTGTTTGTTTTCCAGATAGGCAGCAGCCAGCACTTGCTTGCTAAAAGAAAGTGCATCAGGCCTGTATGTAGCAGCTCCACTTGAGAAATTTGTGTTAAGAGTGATTCAGCTTCTAAAGTGTGTTATTCTTTGAAACAAATTTGAGTGGGAAACTGAGGATAGAAAGGGGAATCGTTCCTTGCCCAATGTCAGTCAAGGTTCTGTGATGCAAGAGAGAATATTTGGCAGTAATTCTCTGTTACTCAGTTTCTGAGTGCTAGTGGGAACTCTTCCAAAATAAATCTAGTCCAATAGTCTAAATGCCTTATTTTGTAGTTTACTTTCTGTGTAGTTGCTTTTGAATTAGAGTTAATGAATTTCCTACTGCTGTCACAACAGACTTATTTAGAAGAAGACCAAAGAGTTCTAAAGTTTTCAGCAACAAGACACTGCTACTCCATGATCTGTATGGCCCTGTTCACTTGAGTGAATGGTCAAGATAAAAGGAAGTAGTTGGAAGTTTCTTGCCTATTTTCCTGCTCTTAGTAATGTTAAATACGTTTGAATTTAATTAAAAATGCTGATAGGAATCCTGGCTTGGACCTCTTTGGAGGAGTAGACTTTGCTGTAAACAGGATAGATGAAAGGAAGAGATCAAATAGAGGAGGTCACCAAATACAGCTGTCTCTGGAACAAAGAGCTGGGCTGGGCCCAGTGCAGGAAAGCCTCATCCTGTGCCAGGCACATCTGTCCTTTACAGCACTGTGTTCAAAATCATAGAGGAAAAGGTTGGATATCTTGGCTTCCTATAGGTGTTTTAATGGAGACTGTAGGATCTCTATGTAGCTGTTTTCACACTCTCAGAATTAATTAATTTTTTAAAGTGCTGTAAAGAAAGAAATACTAGGTCTGCTGAAGGTACAAAAATTATGACAGTGGTTAAAGCTCCTCAAGCAGTTGGTCTTGCAGAGTAATTGGAGGTGATGGAAAGCACTTGACACAGAGAAAGTGGTTTTAAGAGAAGCTGGAAAGTAGAAGTAAAAGCTTTTAATTATGTTCAATGCCCAGGCATGTTCTAGGCCTATATATACACTTCTCTCAATTCTCAGTTAATTTGATGTGAATAAGGCTTGTACAGCACCAGGAATTGTTTTTTTCTTTGTCTTGTTTCTCCAAAACTCATCCTATTATTATTATTTGTCCACTGTATCTTACATTCAAACATGACTTTAGGAAAATACAGTCTCCTTGAGGATCAGGACAGTTGCTATTATTTCTAAACCTGGGTTATTTTTCTAGCTGTGTTGCAACATTTTGTGTCCTTTCTTCAAATAGTAACTCCCATTTCATTTTTCATCTCTTTCCTTATTATAAGTTGTACCAGCTAAAGTAATTTGCAGTAGAACATTTTGTGCTGGTGCTTAAATATCACCAAACTCTACATGGTTTATACTGTCATGAAATTAAAGGCATTGGTCATGGGGAGGCATGCTGCTTGGAAGAATTTTCAGATTGAAGGCTTTTTAGACTGTTCCAAAAGTGAAAGCTGTATCAGCTGATCTTGAAAATACAAAATATATAAATCCTACATTTGGAACAAGTCAAATCATATATTGTATGTAACCTTGTTAAATGTGGTTTTACATATTGCCATGCCTAGGTATGTTATAAAGGTCAGAAATGTGTCACATGGCCTGAACCTAGCTCCTGGGTAAAGTGATTGTAGTATCTTTAAATTTCTCTGAATTTGAGATTATCAGAATCTGTCTGTGTGATCAGAATTTAACTGTCTGACGCATCGTGGTTTAATATCTCAGCCATCAGGATCTTGGCTTTTTTAGGGTCAGGACACTGCAGGCTGAAGTGTTCCTTTCCCTCTCCCCCAACCACTTCTGACAGGCTCCTTTATATTAGTAAAATTATTTTTCCCCCTTTCTTTTTTTTTTTTTTTAATTAATAAATAATCTTGTTTTCATATTATCTCAAGTCAAGAGCTCAAATGTGATGTCTGTACAGTAAATGCAAAACTACTTTTAACAGTTCCTGCTTCACTGAAATACCTTCAATGTAGATCATAAAAACAGTGTGAGGTCCCCTTAGGAATTTCAGCAGCTGTTTGACCATGCAACTGATGTTAGAGGGAAGGACAAGAAAATATTCTCCCACAGATGGTGTAGATGACTGACTAGAAGGTAACAGATGATACGTGGCATTGGCCCCAACTCATATGTTTGTTTTTACTTCTCATTTGTCATTTAAAGTATTTAGTGGTTTTTGATATGAAGCATAACTTGCTAATAACTATACCTGCCATGTAGACTTCATGAGATGTCAGTATGATGACTACATTCTGAAGTAGTGATTTCTGCAAGTGCTAAATGAATTCACATTGATCTTACAATACTGGAGGGTCTATTGTCATTTGGTAGACAGGAGGCCTTTTTCACTTCCCAGTGGCTTAACAGAAGGGTGAACAGACCCCAACTATATTACAGACCTGTTTCCATAGATTCAGTTTACTTGCTTTTGTTATGTGTCCCCCTGAAACCTGTATTATTTTGTCTTGTGAACATGCTGGGAGGCTGTACCTCTCATGAGAGTGCAGCTTTTGTCTCGAGTATTGACCTTCCTAAAAACTTTTTAGTGGATAGTATGGCCTCCATGGTTAGTTTTTGTGTCCTTCTTCCAGCCCCTTCCAGAGCCATGTATAAATGATTCAGCTGTTTTCTTCTTGCTGGGAGCAATTTGGTTTTGGTGTAAAATGAAAGTGAGAATTTTACTGCTTCTCTACTTACTTTTTTTTTCTTTTTAGGGAAAGAAGTATGCCACAGGTGTAACTTGTTATAGCCGGCATCCCTTTGGACTATTCCTTGCTCTGAGGTCCTCAGCTTTTCCTTGTCATGGAGTGCCTGTTGAACACCTGGGTGTTTGTTGCTTGCCATTAGGCAGTGATCCCCTGTTGTGGCACTGTCACACCAAAAGGTCTTTGTTCAGTGCTAATAACCATAGGAGCCCTTGAGAAGGCAAGTCTTGCTTTCTTCCACTGTTGCTCAACTAGATCTTTATATTTGTAAAAAAAATTGGTGGAAAGGACTGAGAGAGCCGATATGAAGATATCTGTAGCTCTGAGTGTTCATTGTTCTGTTGTAGCACATCTCCATTTTCAGAGACCTCTGCTTTCTGGGTAAGGTATAAAGCTCCACAATGTTAATTCGTGGAGCTGGCTGCTACAGGCACAGCTCATTCTAGGGATCACAATGCAAGTAATTTTCCCTTCCCAAACCTTACAAATCACATTCTTTATATAGCTGTTTGGATCTCATTTCTATCTCTACTGAAGAGTCTTGGTTTAACAGTAAGAACTTCCACATACAGATTGGTCATCTTTGATCATCCTTGTTCCTTTTCACTGAACTTTTTTCAGTTCTACTTTAGTGGAGGATATTAAATGTAGGATAGTGATGACCTCTGCTTTAGCCTCTACCCCTTTCCCAATAATCCTGAGCACTCTGTATAATTCTGCAGGTAAAGTTTCTCCTCTACTACTGAGCAAGAGCTGGGATCTCTATGGAGCTCTCTGTTCTAACATTGAGATTTTTCTCCTGGTTGGTAGTAAGCTGTTTGGGTCCATCGCTGCATAGGTGAGTTTGGAGTTGGGTTCCCTGCATGAGTTCCATTTCACTTGCCATTTTGTTATCCAGTCATTCAGTCTGTAGTTTCTTACAGTTTCCCTTGCTGCTACTTTCACATTTTTTATGTTTAGCTGATGTAATGTGCACTCATCGGTGAAAACTCATCATAAATAATATGATAAGAAAATCTACAACTCTTCTATCTGCAGTGTAATGTATTATGGATATTGGTCTTCAAATGAGTCATTGCTTACAACAGGTGAAATGTAGTTTAGTGTAATTCAGTGTAGAGGTTCTGCTGGCATGATGAATGAGGGACATGCCATTGTCTTCTCACCAGGATCTCCAGATGGAGTTTCCCATGTACATGGTAACACATGCATTTTAGGTATGTTTGAATATAACTTAGTTTCTTGTGTAAACTTTACGATGAATTCTATAGATATTTGAATACACCTTATTTCTACATGTGCCTTTTTTTGATTTCAGAATTATTTTGTACCAATGACAAGTGGGCAGAAACGTTGCTACACATCAGCAGTGCTATCCAAGTGCCAACTTCATTTCAGCGGAACACCTGGATTTCCTACATGTTCTTATTACCTGGAAGAGTTATTTAGTATGTTTTTATGAGGAAAGGCAAATGTTTAGTAAAACTTCTGCTTACCAAATTGGCTTTTGTCTTCCTACTGCAACTCAGGTGTAGTGTGTTTGCTGAGACCTCTTTTGCTGGATGTCGTCCCGAGTATTCGACAGACTGCTGCCTTGGCTCTTGGGAGACTTGCTGATTATGACGTGGAGCTGGCAGAGGCAGTCGTGAAGGCAGGCATTCTTCCACAGCTCATATGTTCATTGCCTGAGGAGAATGTAAGGCATGATTGTTCTCTTAAATAATTTTTTTTTAAACTATTATGCAGGGAAAGGGAAATCTTTCTGTATCAGCATCTGCTGTTATTCTAATAGGACATGAAATGTGTTGAAGTCAGAGCAGCATGTATGTTTGAACCCCTGAGAGATCACTGTGTACTGTATGCCGAAGTCTGACTTCAAATAAGCTTGACTTTAAAATACTGTATTACCGTTTAATGCACTGTAGGAAATACATTCATTGCACTGTAACGTTTTTAAAATGTTGAGTGATACTTTGTAAAAGATTCCTCTTCAAAAAGGAGACAGTTTGGAAACTGTGGTGATAATTGACTAGGTTTTGTCTGTAATACCGGACATGTGTAAAATACATACAAAACCCCTGAAATTCTGTAGTGAAATACTTTGTATCTCCAAACGCAGGCCTTTGGAAATTTGTAGCGTGAGAAATAACAAACCCTGTCACAGGAAAATATATGGAAAGGTTTTTATGTTCATATTTGTCAAAACAAAACAAAGTACAGTCACAATTGCAATGCAAATAAATCTGTTGGTCTCTTCCACTCCCTTCCTCACATTTTTCTTCAAGCTCTGTGTCTCTCTCAGCTTTGATTTTTTGAATGATGCAAATCTAGATTAACAGAAATACTTTTAAATAAGGTTCCTAGCAGCTGGAAACTGACAGCTGAAGGGTTAAGTGCACTGATATCACCACCATACTTATGTTGCAGCTTTGATTTATGAAAAATAGGTTTTCAGTGGAAATATAATTTGGAAAACCATATATTTTCATTTTCAATCTTTTGAGGAAAACAACAATATAAATGCACTCAGTGCATACTTTTTGTGCATATAAAATCATTGCCTAAAGAATTAAAGTTGGAAAAGAAAACACTAAAGAAAAACTTTGATGGCAAGATACTGGTATAGTATGAAAAGAAAGTAAAGATTTTAATTAGACAAGGTTGTAAACATTTTGGTTATTTTATTTATATTTTTAAGGGAATATGTGAAAAAAAATTCTACCCACTGTTGGTTTGGAAACTACCCCCTGCTACATCTTGAAACCCTCACTAAATTAGCTCAAGTACCCTGAGGTAGAGTAATTAGGGGAAGCAACAGCAAGACTTGTGTGAAAGTCATGGAAAGCCTGCTATGCCTTGGTGACTGAGGGCAAGAGGAGGAAGCTCATCCAGTTCATGCGGAGTTTAGCAAACAGACAGTTTGTCACTTCCCACAGGCGAAGAAACCTTTTCCATTCCACTCACTTTTAGTGTATCAACATCTGTATTTAAGGATGAGATTCTTTGAGCACACAATGAATACTGTTTCTACTGATTTATGGGGACCAGTCACAGGGTAACATCCCAGATCAATGTTTTGACAATTAAACTGAGCAAAATTCAGTTTTACAGCATATTCTGGCTATGCCTGTGAGTATGGTTTGTTTCTAAAGAATGTGCTTTGAATAATGAAAACAAAGAAGTGTTTTTCTTTGCCAGGAGCATAATTACTTAACAGAAACAACATACTCATATTTGTACAGACTTATGTAAACAAATATGGCTCAGCTGAGTTCCGCAAAACTTACAATAACTTACATTATCTAGGGATTGGACCGTTTGTCTGTACTGTTTCCCTTAAATTCTGTTCCTTATAAATGAGGTTTAATGCCTTAAACATAGTTTAACTTCTGTGTTTAATGTACCTGCTTGTAGACCTTGACTTAGAAAACTGGATTTTTGACATAAAGGAATTATATCAGTACTGGTAAACTAAGGAAGGTAAGGGCATGTCTTAGAGTACTGAAAGATGGCTGTGCTCATTAATCAGTAGTATGCTCTCTGATGTGGTTTTAGGCAATGCCAGCAATCAAACTACTCAACAATGCTTGGACATGGTTTAAGGGATAGCACAAGGCAGGAACAGTTCCCAGTAGCATAGATCAGGCCATTGTGCTTTGAGGAAAGAGGAGTTTCGGTGGACAGATGTGTTATGCTGTGTCACCTTCTTTTAGGGCCAGGGGATGGGCCTGGGTGCATTTTATTTTCTGGGGAGCCATTGCAGATACTGTTCTGTTGCCATATCTTAGTGCTTTAGATCAGGCGTTTGAAGGTGTTTGGGTACCTTACAGGATGCACAAAAGCACTCATGTGGTTCTCTGTTTTTCTGGACGTAATCCAGAAGGGATGTGGGCTTTGCATTGTTTAAATTTTGGGTGCCTTGACACTCCCTGTGCTGAGCAGGGCAGAATCAAGCATCTTGGAATGAAATCCAAGCCAGCTGGCATACGGAGAGAGAGCCCTCTAGAGCTTGTCCATAGGGATCATCTGTCAGTGCCCAGGCTGGAGGGCATACTCCAGCACATAGACATAGCAGCAGGTTACTTGTGTCCCCTCCCCATTAATCTTGCCCTTCACGAGGGAGGGGAACAACCTGTCTTTCTCACAACATGGTTTTCTCTGGCCAGAGTACTTTAACTGGGCTGTGGATTTTGAAAATGTTAGGCAGTAGAGGAAACTTCAGCTTCCATATCGTAATGGCGATTATAAAACTGCAGGAGGAGACTGAAATGTGACTTTTTGAGAGAAGACCTAACTGTGCTTTTAGAAGAAATCACTGCTGCAGTTTACATGGGATCCCCACACTGTGTGCAGTGTCATGTATTATATATACATACTGAAACCTTTATTTGGTTCAGCACTGAGGGAGATGGGCAGAATTGAGACAAGAGCTTAGACTTCGTGTGCCCTTATGACAAAAGGGCCAGGTGCTTAGTCCTATTCAAAATGAGCTTTTTCTGGACAGGCAGGAGTAAAATTGCAGTCTGCTTGATCAGAATTGGGGATTATTCAGTATTGGGTGTTGGTGGGATGGGTTTTCAGTATCCTAGCTGTGGGTTTTAGGCAGTATTTAGGCATTTCGGGATTCAGATCCTAAACTCTTTTATTGGAGCTAATTCTCTCTGTCTCAGTTTCCTGTTTGCAGATGTAACTAGTGTTTTCTCATAGAGATGTTGTGAGGGTATCTATTTTAGAAAGTGTAAAACCTTGCAAGTGTTACAGATGGGTAGAACTATTTTAGGAGCTTGCCCTGGACAACCTGTGTAATCTGGTTAAATATGTTAAGCGTTATTGTTTTTGCAGCTCTTGTTGTTCATCACTCACTTAAACAAACAGGCTTACCTAGACTACTACCTTTTCCCCATATCCTCTTAGGTCTCTCATTTTTTCTGTTTGTTGTGCACTTGCTGCAGATTTTATATCATGAGCTGTCCCAAAGAATGGTAGGTTCATTGTTTGTGTGATGTCTAGTGGTCCTGATTTGGATCTCTATGAGATATTGCTGCTACTAAAAAAGTCTAATTTAGGCATGTCTGTACTTTATTATACTTCAAACTTCTTAATGTTAGTGAAAGTTTGTTTGTTTGTTTCTGATTTGTCTAGCGTTACTACAAGAAAGCAGCTGCTTTTGTGCTAAGAGCAATTGCTAAACATTCTCCACAACTAGCTCAGGCAATAGTTCAGAGTGGAGCACTGGGGATGCTGGTGATTTGCTTGGAAGATTTTGACCCTGGAGTCAAAGAAGGTGCATCCTGGGCATTTGGGTATATTGCGCGACACAATCCAGGTAAAAGTTTCATGTGTGTTATCTTTTAGCTTAATGTCACATGCTAATAATAAATGGTGTTATTTTGGTAAATATAACGAGATGCTTTTTCTTCTCTACAGTTACAAAATTTTAAATTTGGGATAAAACCCCAGTGGAATGTATCATGTACAGTTACACTGTACCATTCCAACAATGCTGTACCTTTTTGTGGGACACCAGCAGTGCCCAGTTATGAGAGGTGCTTTAAGAGAAGATGTTTTGGGCCTGTGGTCAGAAAAAGACACTTTGCTTTATTCCTCTTCATGAAGAGATTTCTGAACCTTTATATATTGTGTAGATGTTACTGCAAAACCAGGTTTCTTTTGCTTGACATTAGTTCTTCTTTGATATACATAGTTGAGTGGAGAAGCCTAGGGAGAAGCAAGTTTTATTCATTCATTACAGTAGTGTTTGTAGGATAAGTAAGCCAAATTTATTGCACTATGTTATCATTAGCCAGTGGACCACACTACTCTCTGAGAGTCAGGAATAGATCCTAGGAATCCAATATTGAGCAGTTCACTGCTGTCTCACAGGCAGTTGTATAACTCACTGGTGGTGTCATGTTCCTATTTAAATGCTGATCCACGTGGTTGATAGTTCTTCTACCAGCTATTTATATAGTTCAAGTAAAAGTTTAGACTGTGAATGGAAGAACTGAGGGAAGAGACTGCTAGCTGGAAGGGGTGGGAGAAATGGTTAGTGATTGTAGTTTTCAAAGTTAAACTAACTATAGATCATAATATTAATTAATGGTTTTATATTTGGTTTTGGCTCTAAAACATACATAGACTGATTTTGAATGTGTTTTTCTTTGTTTTTTAATCAATATAGAATGTTGGACTGCAGAAGGCATGGGGGGGTTCCCCCTTCCCAGTTAACAGGTTAGCTTACTGGGACAGTCTCCAAAGTTGTTAGCACCTTTCTAACAGACTGCATTTTCTGGGGATCTAATTAATTCTTGGGACATTTGATCATATGGTCATCAGGATTGAATTCCACCCTTGATGGAAAATAATTGTTCCTTCCATCTGAAAGATATTTATTTAAATATCAAAAGCGCTTATTTGTATAAATGTGTGCAGTGTGTGTGTGTGTGTCTGTGTTACTCTTAACGTAAACATTTCTGCAGTTTTGTTATGTCACTAAATCAATATTGACTCACTTCAATTGCCCTTCATGCTATTCACTGCATGAATGCTGATGGAGCTTTAGGGTGATCCAGTTCACTCTGTGACAGGATTGTCTGCAAAGGTGCAGGTGATGTGGAGGTATTGAAGACAAAAAATTCCTTGTGCAAATTTTTATTCCGTGGCTATGAATAATTTATTTGCTGATGGTGAATGGGTGCATACCCTATGTCAATTTACAATGACAATAAGAACAGTGTCCTCAGAAATTAGTTGAAATTGTGAGTGCTACCAAGCTGCAAGCATCAGGACATAGACAGATCACGAGATGTAATCAGTAAAAGAACTGCAAATGCCAAGAAAAGCCCACTGAGAGAACCCTGAAACGATTTCCCAACTACAGCCAATTTAGGGGATTTACCTGCCTCTACAACAGTCACAGGATGTCTGTAAAATGATTATTGAAAGTAGAGGAGTTATACTGAGAAAAGATCACTCTGTGCATCATACTTTTCTTACACTGCTACAAGCATGCCTTTGCAACATGATATTGCTGGAGATGGGGTACAGAGACTTATCAGTAGCTGGTGTTTTCTGCTCAAGAAACTCTGGATTAGACTGACATGCTCCTGTTGACAAAATTTGGTGGTCATGATTTTCTGTTATTGACTGTCTGGACAGTCAATTATTATGGACACATAATGCAGCTTTAACTTTAAAAATAGACCTGGGTGTGAAATGGTTTTCCCCAGCCACAGAAGGTTTTCCAGTTTCAAAAGTTGTTACAGTTTTGAACTGGAGCAATAATACGTCAAGAATTTGCTCTCTCCTGAAAAGACTGGGGATAGGGAGATTGGTTTGTCCCAGCAAGAAAAGTTCAATAATTAGGGCATGTCTCTGGGATTAAAGTCCTGATCTGTTTTAGGCAGGATGTGAACCTCTGTCTTAGTGAGTGCAGTCAAAGCCTCCCAGCATTCAGTGATAACTGTTTGCAATGGTGAAGGTCTCTCTGCTTTTAATCAGAAATTGCATCCATGACCCACTAAAGCTACTAAGAACTGCAGTGTATGTTCCCATTAAAATACTTCCATTTTGAGAAATTGAGGCTTCCCCCCGCTCCCCCCCACAATGAAAACACACTCTGCTTAGCAAATTCTATACTGACTTCATATGAAAATATCTTAAAATGCAGTTCTTCTGGGAACAGATGTCTCCAGAAGGCCTGTGAGATTTTAGGTAAAGACAAATGTCTCATGAGGTTTCAAGATGCTAGAAATCTTGCCAGGTCAGATTCCAAAATTTAGAAACTGCTCTTGCAGTTCTGCTTTTTCTTTCCCTTTGAACTGAATTTCAGATACTAATCTTACTCTAAAGTTTACAAATCAATGTGCTGTGATTTTGCCATTCATTATTTTTACTATTTGGATTTAAAAAGAAGTGTAAAGTATTTCAAATACCATAGATGCCATCAGGTCCATGAAAAATATTTTGTAACATTTTACTTACACCATATTCAGTTAAAATGCAAAATTTGAAGTATGCAAATAAGTATGCTTTCCATTTTCTTTTCTCTGTCTGCATTAAAGGTGTAATTTATTCATTGTCTCATACCTGCTTCAGTATATTGTAAATTGGTAGGAAAACAAAAGTAAACAACACTGTTGATACTGAAGCTTATTGCTATAAGCTGAATTTTGGTCATTTTCTGTCATACAGTGGACCATAGCTCAGCTTAGAAGGGACCTTGGTACATCTCTAGTCCAGCTTGCTGCTCAAAGCAGCATCCCCTACAAGAACCGGTTCCTCAGCTCATCAGTGATTTGAGTAACCTCCATCCTCCTGATGAAAGGTTTTCCCACTGGTTCCAGTGGCATCTTTAGCATTGTGGTTGTTGAGGCCTACATGAACCTCTGATTTTTAAGTGCAGCCTTTGGGCTACTTGTGGGAACTAGAGTCTTTCTATGTGGCCATAACATGATGATACAGTCCTCAGAAAAATGCAGTATTGGTGGTTGTTTTGGTCAAAACCTGTTGTTTCCTGTGGATGCACCTGCTACCACAGCAAGCTCTGTTTGAGAGCCCTGGTCTGAACTGAAACTTGAATTTCCTTCCAACCAGGGGTTTTGCTGCTCCTCTTCTATGGGGATATTGTCAATATAGTATTGAGATGATTTTCTTTCTCTAGGGACCATCTGGATATTCACTGTCTCACCTTCATCTGTTTCCCCCTCATCTGGTTTTTATAATCCATGCTATTATTGTCAATGTGATAATATTAGTAGGTTTTTTTAATGCCTTAAACTAGTTTAGAATAATCCTGTAAGACTTCCCAATGCTTTCAGTGGGTATGTAGGTAGGATTTTGGCTCCACTTGGCTTTCCCCTCTTCCCGATCACATAAACTCATGATAAGTCTTCAACTTAGTTTTAATTAATTTCTTCATCCCTGATGAGCACTTTTGTATTGAGACAAACCGGTGCAACTCTAGTACAACTTCTAGTGCTAGAACAGGTGGCATCTCAGGCTCCAAAATCTGTCTTTATTAGTCTTTCTTCTACATCCATTTGAGTCTTGTCTGCAGTATCTCCACTTGCTAAAATCTTCCTCGTGTAGATCTGGATGCAAACTGACCAAGATTTTGGTCAGTTTTGTGCCATAGCTCTCTTGTGTCTGAACAAATGGAGTCCAGTTTCCTACTTTTGCTCACATAGGGAGAAGTTCAACTTTATCATCATGTAGCTGGACAGGTTTCTTGAGTTGCATCCCAATGTGAGTTTCCAGCCTGTGGTTTTCATAACCTTCCGTGGAATTAAATGAGGTTCATACATTAGCTTTTCTCTGCTGTTTTTCTCCTCTGCAGCTATAGGTCTTGTCTTTGCCCTTATTATGCAACCTTGGCATAGTATTTGGAAGAGTATTTTTATAATTTGTTTCAGTTATTTTAATTTTTTCTGACTGAATATTTGGTTTTAAAAATTTTTTATTGCCAAGTTTGTTTTCATCTCTTAACTCCTCAGTCTAAGTTTTTTTCCCACCTCTGTATGTGTTTCTAATTGGATGGCAAAGTTTCATGAATCCTTTGGTATATAATCCGTATTAAAGATGTTCTACAAGTAGGAAGATTAATTGTGCCTCTTCTTGAGAAAAAAAAAAGAGTTATAATTTACAGTAGAATCAATAATGCTTAGGATTGTAATTTTGGGCTGAATTTGAAGGGAAACAAGATGGGAAATACTGTATTTCCTTTCTTCCCTGCCTCAGCTTTTCTGTTTTTCTGACAGTCCATTTACGACTTGTCTATCTTGACACATGGTCCAGCCCTCCATGTGGTAAGTTATTAGCCATGAACCTTATAAACACCACTGGAAGAAAAACCATTTAATTACCCATGACCAACAGTAACCATCAGTATTTAAATGATGTCAGACTTCTAGCAGCAAGAGCTGATCTAAATGGAATCAGATTTAGTTTGTTCTTTCAAAATAACTTTTACAGTTACTTTTGCACACCCGAGTGTAGCTGTGACCTGAAAGTATTGCTCTTTCTCTCCCTGCTTGAACTTCACGATTTTAGCTCCTAAGACATCAAAGAACCCATTCTTCTAGCATCGTGTCCCTCTTGACATCAGATTCTTGATTTTAGCATTTCCCAGCAGACTGTGGGCAGTGGAGCTCTGGTTGGTCTGAAGTTCTGAGGCACAATTGGAGGGGTCAGTAGATCACCAGTATTCCACTTGGTCAGTGGAATACTGACAAAACACAATCTGAAGAAACTGGCCATGGATTTTTCCACAAAAAGCTGACAGTAACTTAAACCACTTATATTGATTAGCTCCTTTTCAGATTTGTTTTTACATACATTTCAGGTACATTTTGCTTCATATTTTTAAAACTGAAGACACAGCATTTGAGTTTGTTGAAATCTTATGATTTGTGTATTTTGAGGATGCATGCACTACATTTTCAGTCAAATATTTATTTGAAAAATTAACTTTGTAGAGTTAATTTCACTGATTCACAGAATGTTCTGAATTGGAAGGGACCCACAAGAATCATCAAGCCCAACTTTTAAGTAAATGGCCTGTACAGGGGTTGAACCCACAGTTTTGCCATTATTAGCACTATGCTCTAGCCAACTAAGCTAATTTCAGGGTATTGTATTAGTTTAAAAATTATTGCATTATTTAATTTTTTGATATAATATTTATGTTTTCTTTAAAATATTGTATAATAAAATAACATACAGTGTAAATATTTGACTTATCACATGTATTACAGTGTGTGGCTATAACTCACTAATTGAAAACAAATCTGGTCTGGAACATTATTTGGATATTAACAACGTAATGATGACATGACTTACAGATTTCATGAAAAACTATATTAGTCTATGTATATTTAATGAAGTATGCTGTATTTTTCTTAGTATGAAAATCTCTTTATGGATGGACTATAAATCAAAAGCTAAGTTAGAGTCTTGAAATACAACAGCCATATGTTGCCATGGTACTGTAAGTCAAGATAAATGTTAAAGATAATAATGGATATGCATAATAAGGTGTAGCAAAACTGAATGAAGAACCTAATAGATTATTGAATCCCCTATGGTTTTTACCACTTTTTCAGCACTATTTTAAAATAGCACAGCTTGGTTATAATATAAATTTTGCTTCTGATACCCAGTAATTCTCATTTTAGGACTGTGATTAATGCTGCATACACGGAGAGAGCTAATGAATTTCTAATAGTGTAATTTTTGTCCATGTCAGCTAATCACATGCTCAGATTTTTTTTTTTTTTGTTTAAGGTGCAGTTAGTTAAGGATATTGTGCTAATCTCAGACACACAATATCACTGATGATATTTCTCATTTGTCTAATTGTGTATGATAACATTTTTTTGTCATTAAAGTATAAATTCTGTCTCATCCCGTGTATGGTAGCAAAGACTAGTTTTGAACACCAAGTTCCATTTTTGCAATCTTTTATGTAAGATAAATCTTTTATGTATGTTTTTTGTATTTTTGTTTTTGGCATTTGATCTATGCTAATATCTGCTTATCATTTAAAGAGGGTAAAATGCTCTCTAATTAGCCGGTTGATAAAATTTTGGTACTTTGGCTTTCTGTGTTGTTGTTAGCCATGCATAAAATGCTTTCCTATTGATCAGTGTAGAATAGCCAGGGTTTAAACAGCTGACATCTGCTTACTTTAAAAAAAGAAAAAGAAAACAGAATAACAAACCATTTCAGCCTAATCTACCTCAAATGTGTGCATGTAAATGGGGGTCCATCTATTGACCTGCATTCTTTTCAGTTGTGGATTGGTCCACACGGTTTATGAAACCAGGAGGGCTGATTTGAAATGCAGATGTCGAGACAGTGAACTACACCCTCCCCTTTTTCCTTTGCTGTATCTGTCAGGGTGAAAAATGGCTTGCACAAGGGTCAGTCACCCATACTCACTTAATTACTTTCCTTGGACCTACAGAACTGTCACAAGCTGTGGTGGATGCAGGCGCTGTTCCTCTTTTAGTGCTCTGTATCCAGGAGCCAGAAATTGCTTTGAAAAGGATTGCTGCTTCAACTCTCAGTGATATTTCAAAGCATTCTCCAGAGTTAGCACAGACAGTAGTGGCTGCAGGAGCTATCGCTTACTTAGCTCAGATGATCCCGAACCCTGATGCTAAACTGAAGGTACATTTAATTTATTTTTTTAATCTCCATTATACAAGTCATTACTTGAAATTGAATCAAAGACACGGATGTGTGTATTTATTTAGAAGCTCTTGGTTTGGGTGTTAACAAAATGTAACTATGTAGTTAGTGACAAAGAGTTCTGCACGTATTTACAAATTTAGATACTGGATATAAACTGCAGCTCTGTGAGGAACAGCTAAACTAATCTTTAAAGTGAGAAGTATGGTTTTTTTTTAGAAATATATAGTATATGAAGAATGCAACAGATACTTGAATAGGTAAGACTTGCACATTTCAATTACAAAAAAAGGTTTTGCATACTAAAGATTATATGATAAGCCAGTTAATAGTGAACTTATTGTATTTTAGAATGTACTATCTGATGTGAATGGCTTTTGTCAAAGGTTTAATCACTAGCGTTTGATTGACAAAAAAATTTGTTTATTATAAATCTTCTGTCTTACTCTACCAAACAGAAGACAACATAAAAATGCCACAAAAACATCTTTAAGATCTGACAGATCCAATTTATGTAAATAAAAATGCCTTCTAGAGATTTTAGTAAATTTTAAATTACAGTTTTAAATTATATGCGTATAGATATATATTTAATACATACAAGCTTGAATGGGATAAAACAAAAGAGAAACTTTTATTCAGGAACCAGCGAATGTTCTATGCCATTATTTTTGTGCATGAATTGACTCAGTGAATTGTAAAATAGCTGTAATTGTTTTCCCTATCCTGCTTTGTTTTCCTTGATGCAATAGATTTTTGTGTGCAGGGGGAGTGTGTGTTGTGGGATGTTTGTATACTATTGATTTTACAACAATTTTTATTTACTAGCGTCAGGTGCTGTCAGCTCTAAGCCAAATAGCAAAGCATTCAGTGGATCTTGCAGAGTTGGTGGTTGAAGCAGAAATTTTCCCAGTTGTGCTCACATGCCTGAAGGACTCAGATGAATATGTCAAGAAAAATGGTGCAACTTTAATTAGAGAGATAGCAAAGCATACGCCTGAGGTAAAACCTTGAAAATGCAAATACAAGGTCATATCATTAGATTTTACACTTTAAATAAAATACAGGATTATTCTGTCATTTGCTTTTCGAAAGGGAGGGCAAATGGCTGTTTGGCATGTTCATTGGAAAATATGGAAATGCTGATATTATGAGATGTGTATTGAATATGAATTGGGTTAGGAAACTGGGAATCATAAAATGTATACCCAGCTACTTCATTCTATGAGATATCGGCACAGAGAGGGAGTTCTTGGCTGACAGTACTGTCAGTCCTAGATATTAAAAATATTATGAGAAAAGCCTCACAGAAGTCATGATACCAGCTACTAAATTGCAAGATCATCCTTTAACAATAATAGATGGTGTGTGTCTTCTTAAAAATCTTCAGGGGTGCTGGGATCACATTTTAATTATTTTTCCAATGACAGTGAAGGTCAAAAATTCTCTTATTTATTATTAACCTGATGGTAACTTGAGTTTGTAATTTGAGTTTGAGCATTTACAGTGTTTTTGCCCATAAGAAGGTGGGGATGTTTGGCAATGTCAATACAAAATAAATAGGAAAACCATATAATTATAACTATGGTAATCTGCCAGACCACAGAGATAATTAAAAGGCTCTAAATATGACTTTGGAATGAAATATAAGTCATGTTATTTGTGGAACACACTAATGCTGAGCATAGTAATTTCAAAATCATGATGCTAACTTAACAACTGGGAAGTGTTTAAACATTAATATTGTGCAGTTTTTTCAGCTTGCCAGTCTTTAAACTGGTGATAAAAGTTTACAGTCTTGGCACATTTCCTGCTTTCTTTCTATATCTCATGGGCAATGCAACTTCACTTCCTCAAAAAAGTAAAGAAATTATAATTTTCAAAAAGGGGCCCTAGAGTCAGAAGCCAGAGACCAAACTCAGGATTGCAGGTAAAGTCAGAAGAGCTTCTGGCACCACCAGATCCTCCACACAAGAGGAGCTGGCCATGCTAACAGCTCTCCAAAGGGGCACTAGGAAGCATCTTGGTGACTCCCAATGGGAAGTGACAATCTGTGTCTGACACAGAGTGACAGAGATGACTGTCCAGCTCTGGAAACTCTATTCAAGCAATGCATGTTGCAGTAGAGACAGGCTGGTAAATTATATTTCTAGAGGATTTGGCTGTGTCATTTGAGACTCTTGACTTTTGGATCTCAACTCTCTAGCTGCATATGCAGTAAAATTAATGCGAAGGTCAGCAGCAGAGGGACTTAGAGCGAGGGCTGAGGGACACGGCAGGAGCTCTGCACATCCAGGTGCACAGGGCTGTATCCAGATATAGGACTTGGTTGCCACTGGCTGTAATTCACAATCATGTGAACAGATTTTCCTAAGTACTAACTGAAAGCTTTATCTGGCTGTTTCATGAAGAAAACAATCCCCTTTTAAATGCTCTGAGACAAAGGTGGATTTCATATTTATGGAAATCAACTCTATTGGGAATTCATGTGCCTCAGTTTTGTTCATTTAATTTTGACTTTTAAGAACACATTCCTTTTTCTTCGGAATCTGTAGGGAGAATGGGATATACCTAAAAACATGGAAGAAAATAATAATTATAATATGAAATAATTTTGATTTCTGTGCATTATTAATATCATACATATTCTACTGCTGCATCTCAAGTGGTGTGACAAGTTTTCTTTTGGTAGAAACCCATGTTGCATTAGCTTGATTATAATTTATAAACAAGGCTATGTAATTTGGCATTCTGGGGCAGACTCCATTACCCACCAAGTGTGTTCCCTGGACACTTCCCTCAGAGAATGCTAACATGGCAGAATGTTGCAGCCAAGTAGGTTTTGCAAATCCAGAACAGTTGTCCTTGCCTTCAAGCCTCGGCATGAGGATCCACAAAGGATTTGATGCCACAGAGGTAATTTAGAATGCAGGGGAGAGGAGGAATGGGCCTTTGCCTCTGTCACTGCACAGAACATAGGATGTTAGTTTGGGAATGAGGGGCCACTAGGATGAAACAGTATCTGGCTCATTAGGTGCATCTTCAAGATCAGTCATGTGATAAGCTATCATTTGCATATTTCTCTGATATGTGATGATGGAGTTGAGAATATGCCATTCCATGCTATACAGCATCAAGGATTCAGAACTCTGATTTCCTTGCAGTTAAGTCAATCAAAAACACAGTAGCAAATTAGCCTCGTTCCTCAAAACTTGATGCTGTGCTTAGTTCCCAACAGTCTATATGATATGTCACCCTCATTCCAGCTTTATTTTGTAAAACAGGAGCGATACATTAAAAGGCTTCTCTGATGCGGTTCTTTCTGCCTGTTGAAACTTCAGAGTATCTAATATCTTCTGTTTATCTTTTTAGCTTTCACAGCTTATAGTAAATTCAGGCGGAGTTGCTGCTGTGATTGATTGTATTGGCAGCTGCAGAGGGACTGTCAGACTGCCCGGCATCATGACACTTGGTTATGTGGCGGCTCATTCAGAGAACCTGTCAATGGCAGTGATTGTCTCCAAGGTTAGCCATCACTTTGTTGCCTTCCTGTAGTTCTTCAGCAGTATTCTTTGGTACAGATACAAATTAACATAGGCAGAGAATGTATTTTGTGACAGGATTATATACTTGCTCTCGATGAATGCACTTTCTGCTAGTATTGCTGGTTTCTATGACTGAAATTCTGTGGCAACCTGATAAAAGGGTGTCTTTATGGTGTTAAACCTTTTACAAAACATCGTGGATTAGTTGGTATAACACTGCGTGACTTTTCTGTGTTCCAATTGCATGGGTACAGAAAATGTCACTGAATTTCTGTAGTCTGCTTCCTCTTAAAATGTGTATTTGTGGCTGCATCGAAAGCTTCTTTGGAACGACTGTGTTTAATGGCATTTTCTTCATTGTACAAGCCTGGCTCTGCTACTACTGCTGGAGTATCTTGCAACAGCGATCTTCAGACTTGAAAAGAGCTCAGTATGTAATGTGGCTTGATTCAGTTGTGCAAGTGACATTTCAAATTAGTAAAGTTATACATTTTCTGGTTTAAATAAATTCTGCTGGGTACTGATATAGAAGAGGGAAAATTTGCAATGTTTACAATAGGTGAAATTAGTGTCTGGCTTAGTAGTCTGATGTAAATAATGCCAATTAATGACAGAAAGAAGGAAACAGTTTCATTAACATTTTTGACCCATTTTCACACTGTCGCAGTCATTTAAAACAAAACAATATAAATAAAGGAACAGAAATGTCTTCTAGTAGAAATGCAAGTTGGAAAATGGAAGCTGCTACAACATAATATAGTATGCAGAGCAAGTAGGAGCGATCAAAAAATGCTTTTCTGTATTTTGAAGCTAAAGAAATAGATGCTTTTTTCTTGCCACCTCTGGAGGCCATTCTTCTCTGGATGTGTCTCTCTTTCCACTTTTAGGAATGCCTAGAGCAAATATGCTCCTGCTTTTGAGTGCTTGACATTAAGTGGGATGAAACCAGGATTAAGTTCTGGAGGAAGCCCCTAAATTAGAATTTTGAAGAATAATAATGATTCCTATCATAACTGAATGGAACTGCTGTGAGAGCTGTTGTAGGCATCTGGGCAAACTTTGATGAACTGAAATATGTTAATGAATGATCTACAAAAGAAATAATAATAAGCCCAAATAAACCCAAAACCCATTAAAAAAAAAAAAAACAAACTGCTTCAGAGGAAATTAAGCTTGTGGAGGGGTACATAGTGCTGAGGACGGGCCTTGGTAAACTGGAACCATTTGAAAGAAATACACTGTGGCATAACCATATGTACTTAGACACTGATGATATTATGATGTAAAGTGGTAGTTCCACTCCATGGTACTCTAACCTGGAAAGGATGGATTTCTAACAATGATTTTTGGGATCATACTAGACAAACACTTCATTGTGGTCTTCTGCTGTAATGCAGTGGCAAAGCCACCCACAGTTTAGTCCTTTGTGGTATGAAAGAGTAGAAGATGAAGCATTATTGGAAAAGAAAAGTTGATCTATTTGTTTTAGTAATATGTATAGTTCCACTGTCTGTATTTGAAAAGTATATTGGGGAATAACCCAAAACAACAAAGCAGAAAACTGTGCAGAAAAGAGTAAAGAAGGATTCATGGAATGGAGAAAAAGGTTTTTTGGATAGACGTTTAGTAGCCTTGCCTTCCCTAAAGTAGCATGGAATGTTTCCTGTTGGAGTGTTTTGGCATAAAGTACCAGCTACTAAGTAGTTCTGGAGAAAGTATAAAGACTCTGAACTGGCGCAGCTTTAGTAAGAGCTGGATGTGGGACCTCCATCTCTTGATGTCTGCAAATCAGGAGTGGAAACCCTTCTTGAAGTGATTGGGTGAGTCACACATGAACTGCTGGACTCAAGAAGAGGTTGATAAGTTGAAATTTAGTCCTGTGGATAGTAAAAAAAGAAAGACTCAGTGATTGAGCACTTCTGATCTTAAACTGATATCACAGATTCATAAGCACTCAAATTCTTTTATTTTCAGTCTGAGAAAAACTGCCACCTTTACTCAGTACAGCCTGAATTATGTTGTGTATTCTTTTTATACCTTAAATTTGCATGTTTGTTCAAACCGCTTTCTGACTTAGAACATTGAATCTGTTTCTTTTTAACTATATTTATTAAAATTTATTAAAAATTCTTGCTAATCATGATGCTGTAAACGTATGATGCCATTAGCATGCATCCTCTTACAGTTTTTTTTAGGAGAGTGTAAATAGAGAAACATTTTCTAACTATCTGAATCTGTTTCGCATTGTCGTTCCCTGGTCTACATTTGTAAAGGTTGTGCTTTTGATTAATGCTACAGGGAATACCACCACTGTGTGTCTGCTTGATAGAAGAACATGAAGATCATATTAAGGCAGCAGCTGCTTGGGCCTTGGGACAGATTGGAAGACACACTGCTGAGCATGCACGTCATGTTGCAGTAGCAAACGTGCTGCCCACACTGCTTGATATCTTTGTGGACACATGCAGCTCAGAAGATCTTAAAGTGAAAGCAAGTAGATTTGTAGTATTTGCAGTGTGGTATATTAATTGTAATCAAGATATTTAAGTGCTTAAAAACGACTAAATTATATGTGTTTTAATTGGTGCTCATTGGGTCACAGCTTTCCTGGGTGCAGTGTCTGAAGGCTGTGTCACTTATTAGGGGACTGGCTGGTCCTAATGCATGTGCACGTGGTATATACCAAATCATTTGCTTCAGCCACCACAGCAAATCCCTTATTTTTTTCCCAGTTTAGATCAGAGTTGCATAGACCCATATTGCTGTAATTTCTTGTGACTCATTTCTAAAGATCCGCTTCTTTTTTTGCAAGTATAAGCTCTTGTAGAAAACATTACAGTCCTTGTAATAATTTTGCCTACACTTTTATTATTACAATAAAACTGTAACAGCTAATCAAGGTTCTGCTTTTTAAAACATGCAACTGCCCACATTTAGGGCCTTTCCTTGTGTGGGAGCCCATAGAGTTGCAGTTTAGTAAAGTGTACTTCTGAGCAACAGTAAGATCTCCCATGTTGCACTGTGCTTCTGCACATTCCATGTACCTTTTATATAGTCATTTCCAGTAGTCCCAAAAATATTGAAGCCAAATTAGCTGTACCTGTAATCCTGACCAAGAAGGTCACTACTGCTTATATCAGCCAACATTGAGTTTGTTTTCAGAAATATGCACCAATGCACAATTGTTTCATTCTCTCTTTTCCCCCCTGCCTGGACAGTACTGCACTTTGCTATCCCAGACCAGCAGCCTCTCCTAGTAAGCCACTTCTAAAATACAATCTTTTAAAATATGTTTTAACTTTCTTATTATATTAGAGTACTTCAATTTACCTAAAGGGTCTACTCCAGCTTTTATTATAGTCAAAGGAAAATTGCCCTTGCTTTGACTGTAGATAACGTAATAATAATATGATGCACTGTAGGTTTTGAGCTTTAATAAATCTAAGTAGAGAATTGATTCTTCATTAAGTGACCTGATAGATATCATAGTTTCTATTCAGAAATTGCTTATTGAAAATTCTGATCAATTTGCTTTTTTGATCAGACTTCAGTGATATATATGAATTCTCGTTGTTTTTGTTGATATCTTACTACAGAAAGTTTATTTTGCATTTCAATAGGCTAAGAAAGCCTTAAAGAACATTCTTCAGAAATGCACGTATCTTCCAGCACTTGAACCACTGCTTCATGAGGCCCCTCCCAGTATTATGAAGTATATTATTGGGCAGTATAGTAAGGTAAGAAAAGGCTCTTCTTGGTGAGTAATATGTTAATTGCTAATTGCTTCCCATTTAACCACTCTAAAGGTGTTGTTGTTTTCTCAGGATCCTCAAGCATCCCCTTCCAAAACAGTTTGGATCCTGTTCTTTTGTCTTATACAGCTGGATACTGTTTCATTTGGAATCTGCCATAATTCATCCTAAGACTGGAAAAACAGTTTCTTATAAGCAAGGTGTTTTTTTCTTCCTTGCCTCTTGAGATTAAGTGGAATATTAACTCACGTGCAAGTATTTTCGCTGAGCCAATGTATCACATAAATCCCAGTCACATCTGTTTTAGATAAACTACAAGCTATCTGTACAGCAGTGACTTAAGTCATATATTTTACAACAATATAGACTTCACTCCTTTTACCCTGATTAATTTTCAGTCACAAATAAGTGTGAAAATTCCAAATCTTTTTTCATCCTCCTCAAAAATTTGCAAAAAGTTAGTTGTTAAATACATTGTTGATTTGAATGCAGCATGTAAAAGTGATACAATTTATTAAACATATTTAAAATTTGTAAGTAACTGGGAGACTTGCAGTGTCTGTCATATTCAATTTGTGTTGGGAATCCTGTTCAACTATAGACTGTGTTTTGTGCAATACTCTGCAGTGTAACCTGTTAGCAGGGTATACCAAGCTCTGTTGGTGAGATGTTCTTTCTGGAAATGGCCAAGTAAAACACTCTGTTCTGATTATGACAGACCTGGAAGCACTGCTGTTGGTAGTGCAGATTCTGATTACATTGCCGCAGTTTCATTTGTCCTGTCTTCTTGGTAAGGCTGTTCAAAGACTGGAGATTTGCACAGAATCCAGCCCCTTTTGCTTCTTCGTTCTGCCTGGAGCTCTTAATCAGCCAAGTGCATAGCAATTGGTTATCCAGTGTATATTTGAATGTTGCTTGCTATTGAAATGGTTTTGTGCCCTTCATATCAGCTGATACTTTGTTTCATTTTTCTCCTTTGCCTATGTGTTATTAAACTATACTTGTCTGGCATTTGTTCTTCTGAAGTATACTCTTAAAATTAAGTTCTCTGTAGTAAAAGCATTTTTCTCTCCTGTACCATAGCTTGGGAATTTCCTATTCTTAGAGCTGTGGTCTGTTACTTCTGTGGGCTTATTTATGGCACAGTAAAAGCCTGATTTCCAAGCTGTGCTTCAAAATGGGGTGCTATTTGTTTTTCGTGCTGGACTGTGCATTTTAGCATTAACATTTTCAGAGTTTGTGCAGTTCTGTGCTGTCTCAGGTTGGACTGGGGGAAGAGATTGTGTCTTAGAGGTGCTCTCTCTCTTTAGGGCCCCTTCCCAGAAAGTTTTCTGCTGTCTTATCCAGCCTGGAAGTCACAGTGTGGAGGAGGAAGGCAGGGAAAGGGCCATATCCTGTCTCCTTGCTAGTTCCTCCTTGGCAGTTCTTGTGGTGGGAGATATGTGAAAACAGACGTCTGTTCAGTTCCCACAATGAAGAAAATCGCAGTTGTTGCTGACACTTCTGTGGAGCATATAATAAGAGAAGTCTTTGTGCTCTCCTGCTTTTTCTTTACCTGTCTGTTGATTTTGTGCAGCATAGAGGAACCGCAGAAATGAAGGTTGTTTGCCTGTATGCATAGAAGAAATTTAGTTCTTTTTCTTCATCCTTTTAGGCATTCCCTTCCTCATTTGAGGCTCTAGTTTTACACTGAAATACAGTCAAATTTATGACTTAATATCTGACCATTACATTTTTTAAGTGTGAAGCTTACAAAATGCTTTTGCCCTCATAATCTGTAACTCAGAGTTGATTTTAAACGCATCTGGTTTTGCTGTAGATGCAGCTGACATCTTGCATTATCTTTCTATCTTTCTTTTTCTCTATTTTTTTTAAATAATATTGCAGCCCTATGGGCCTATGGACTACATGCTGTCATTCTCCCTTGCCTGGCCCAGCCCCCACTTCCCTCCCTCCCTCCCTGCCGTCCTCTGGACAGAGCTGCGTATTGGCATCACTCAGGGAGCGCAGAATGTTATTGTCTGATCATTTCTGCTTCTCATCCCCTTTGGCTGCAGAAACTTCACGTTTATGCTTTGTGTGTGTGTTTGTAAAAGGCTTCCATGGCTACACAGTGTGTTAAAGGATTTTAATATCTAGGAATTTAATAGTAGCATGTAATGCTTCAAGGCTGTATTGTTCACTTGCAACAATTCTCAGTATTGTTTTCATGCACTAATCTATACTAGATCATTATAATGATATAAAATTCAGCTCTACAATTAAACTGTGGGAATTGACATAAAAGACCTGAATAACTTGGTTTAAGTGGAACAGATGCTGTTGTTATTCCATGTTAGTGTTCTGTTTTGATTATCTATTTATTCTCTGCAATCTTATTGTCTCTGTAGGAATAACTGAAGAAATATTATTTATGTAAGGATAAATATTAAATTCATTATTTTATATATGTTATGTATTAAAGTACATGATAAATTATGTTGTAATTATAAAGGGCTGGTTTCTGTTTTTTTTTCCCTATACAGCTGGGTGTTATAATACAGTAGTCATTACAGATGTTGTTTCTTGGATTTTCCATTTTATCTGTCCTCTGAATTAAAAACAAATAAGCAATATATAAGCCTAGTAGCATACAGATTAATTTAAAAAATTTTAATGTACTATTCTGTGTGTAGGTGTTACCACATGATAGTAAAGCACGTCGTCTCTTTGTAACAACTGGTGGACTTAAAAAGGTTCAAGAAATACAAGCAGAACCTGGGTCACTTCTTCAGGAATATATCAACACTATTAACAATTGCTATCCAGAGGAAATAGTAAGGTAGGGAAAATGAAATGTAAAGATTTTATACTTGTTACATTGTTACATGTTTTTCACAGGAACAACACAAAAGAAGGATTTAAAATAGTAATTTAATTCCTATGTGGATTTTGGTTTTAATAAAACCAAAGCATAACATTTGGTTAATTGCCCCAGCGGTAACACAACCTCTGGACACATACATTAGAACGCTTTCTCTTTTTGTATTTGGAATCAAATTTCTTTGTCTGTCAACAAAGTCCAAATAATCAGGCTCTTGAAGGAAGGTGTGACAAAAAGTCAGTCCTGCACTGCACAGATGGACTCTTGAGTCTTCAGTATTCACTCATATTTATGAATGTCTGTGGGATATTTATTTTGGTAACTTATTTGTGGATCACTTAGGCTCCAAAATACAGGTATTGGTAAATCTTTGGTTGCATCCTTGACTTTCCTAATAGTGTGTCTGAACTAGAGTATTCAGAGGCTCCTTTGAAACTTCCTCTGATGTACAGAGGGTCCAGAGGCTCTCCTGCACAGTTGGTCTGCCCACAGCTGCCCTTCCTCCCTGAGCCTCATCAAAAGGCTTAAATGTTATATAAAAGAACCATACACCAGCTGTCTGCACCAAGTTGAACTTTGCCCTTAATGAATACAGAAACACTATTAAATAGCTTACAGTCAAAATGTCACCATCCTAAATTGTAATAATGACAGAAATGCCCTCCTAGATTCTAGATATCCATTTACCAGTCCTTCACTCCATCAGCACATCAGAAGGATGTTGTACTCATGTACTCCCTCTACAGGCTCTGAAAATCTGCATCATCAATTTTAATTATAGCAGCAGAGTTCTTCAGCTAATAGTAGCTAGAAACTAAGTCTCACAAAATGAAGCCCTGTTTGTCTCCACAAAGGAAAACCAGTGGCTGTCAAATGGGTAAAAGCAAAGTCATAAAGAAATTTTATTCTGCAGCTAGTACTTCAGAGGGAAACAGGAATTTGTTTATGCTTTTCTGGATATTAATAACGTTTTTTTGTTATAGCTTTTTTTTCCTCCTGTAAATGAAAAAAGGTTACTCATCTAGCCTGGGATGTAATAAAGGAAAAGGCCCCTCTGAGCATCTCTTGCTTGCCTGTCTGTGCTTCTGCCTGATGTTGGTTCTGCTGCCTGAGGCACAGTAGCTGTGATAGAATCCAGCTCTGGATTTGTCCTGGAGACCTGTTATTTTAGGTTGTTTGCAGACTGAATACAGTAATGCATTGGAAAGTTAGCTTTAGAAATCACAGAACTAATATGAAGTTTAAAAAGAGTTTAATTATGCAGAAGTTACTCAGAAAAATGAAAATTAACAAGGTAATTAGATTTTCCTTCAAGGGAAAGCACTAGGGATGTTTTTTGAGTATTTTTTAGGCCTGCATTACATGGAGGTGTGTTCTTCTCTCTTTATAGTTGAAGCTTTCAGGGTTCAGAGGTGGCCATTCACATGCCTGCAAAACTAAAAATATACGGAGATGTATGTTTTTAGAATAATACAGTATTAAATTTCAGATACTCTTAACTTGGAAAAAAAGAACTAAATGCAGCTTTGATGCTTGCCTATTGGATGCATGTAGTTGGTCCATTGTGGAAAGCCAGCTGAATGACAGCAGGACAAAAATGGCACCATAGAGTCCTATAGAGTCCTCTAATGAAAACCTCTGGATAATGTCCATCCTTGAATGGCATTAGAGAGAGAAATTCACTGTGACATTTATTTTAGTTCCAGAACCAGCGTCCCTCTCATGGATGTAGGCTTCATGTGAGTTTCAGGGTGTGTGCTTATGTCTGACAAACAGCAGCAGACTATTGTCATTTGCAGCCAACAGTTCTCTGTAAACTCATGCTTTTTTGTTAAAGGCCATAATTCCAAAAGAAGCCAGCACCTACATTTCTCAGTAAAGACAATGCTTATGGCAGCTGAAGCTGAACCTATCTAAAATGTAGCTGCTTACCTACATGCCTTAAAAGAAGCTAAATATATTTTTAAAAATCTGACTTCCAAGTATAAATGATAATGGACATTGAAAAGCAGGTTGTTAAAACATTGTAGGGGAGTAACTGTAGAGGTCCTTGACTGGTGTTTAATTTTTTCCTGATCAGTAGAAATATGCAAAGTGTTTCATTACTTTGCACAGAACATGCCTTATAGTCTAACACACAAACAAAATGTTTCTCTTTCAGGTACTATTCCCCTGGATATTCTGAGATGCTTCTGGAAAGGGTGGAAAATTACCAACCAGTATTATAAACTTCAGGGTTTTATTAGAGCTGCATTTCACATTTACACCTTTATGACTGTAATACAAATACAGCTGTTGAAAACCTTGCTTGATTCTCAAATCTCTTTCTACTGTTTGAACTACTGAAAAAGCTCAGCAGTTCTAGCAAGCTACATTTTGTTCTTTATAAACTTGTTTGTCTCTACGTTTTTGTTCCTTTTTGTTTTTTTTTTTAACATTACTACCAGGTATTGCCACATATATGAATGGAATTTGATGCAGAAGTGATGATTTATCACAGAAGCTTTTTTAGAATCAGTAATTTCCTTTTCCTTCCACAAGAAAAGTTTGTTATCTCATTCAAATTTTAGCCTTCTCAGTACTTACTACCATTTTCCCCTTTTGCCTTTGTATATTGTTTAAAGCTTCCCAGGCTTGATGAGGGGAAAAAAGCTGGCCCCTGTGTTCTTTCTAATTATGGAATTCTTTCTGCACTGAGATATCTCCTACTGCTACCTTTGAGGAAGTAAAATGTTATTATTTTACATGTCCAAACATGTTAGTAGCAGCTAAACAAAGAAATAATCAGAGATGAAGATGATACAAGGGCTGAATGATGATACAAAGGCATGATATGGTGATGTGGTGATCCTGGCCTGGTAGATATTACATCTTCTGCTAAAGTCCTCCTAATTAAGGCAGGATACTCTGTGAGAATAGGGGCAATACACTGTTTGGCCTGTGCATGGTTGTTCCTCTTGAGAAGGACAGAGTGAACTCAGAACTTCCACGGAGGTGAAGGGAAGGACCCTGGGAGGTTTGGTTCTGCGGGCTCAGCGGCACATTTGTGTGGCTCAGAGGAGAGGAGGTTTGCTTGGCTGCAGGAACACTGTTAGCAAGGTTCTGAGCACATTCAGAGGAAATCTGAGGACACTTAGGTCGCACTGATTGGACTGATAGGCCTAAGGTGGCTTAGGATTTATCCTTCAAGAGCTGAAGAGCTGAGCTAAAACACATTTGGAACTTAAGTCTTGAAGCTGCAGATCACATTGATGTAGAGGTATGAGCGCTTTCCCTTCTGTAGAACATCCTGAAATTATTTTTACCTTCTTTTGGAGAGTGAAAAGACTTTTACATTCTGCTTACTCCTCTGCTGTATCGCACAGCAAACAACCCTCTAGTCTTCCCTAATATGTAACTGTCATATACCATTTTTTGTTTTAACCATTTTTCTTTTTCTCATTTGCAGCAGTTTGGGGGGTGTAGTTTTTTTGTTTTGTTTTGTTTGCTTGTTTTTTGGTTGTTGTTTTGTTTTGTTTTTCATTTTTCCCAAAGACTACTAAACAGTGTTTCTGGAATGGGATATGGAAATACTGGCAGCCACAAGGAAAGACAACATTTGAAAACCTCCACTGTAGAGAAACTTACCTACTTTCTTAAACATATAGCTGAATGGGTTTATAAAAGAAGGATAGTCTCATCTATTACTTGTAAAGCAGGAGCAGAGACTGATTGCAGTTGGAAATTATTTAGAGTGGCTTTTCTTTGCTGAATTCCAAATGACTAATTTTTTATTCTTGTCAGCATATTTTTCAACAGTTCACAAAAATATTAGTGGGCTATCCTGTCTTAAAATTTATTTCTACAGAGGGCTGTGCTCCTGCTGTGAAGTACTTAGTGCTCTCAGACTCTGCTTTTCAGGAGGACCAGGGGATACACAGTACCTTACTGTATGGAGACTGAGACAGAAACTGTTGGTGTCATGAATGTTAGTGTAGAATCCACACCCAATGGGTTCTTTCCTTAGCCCACAGCTAAGTGAAAAGCCTTGGAACTGATTAGCTTCTACCAAATGCCTTTTTTATTTTAGTGTTTATATTCTGACATTAATGCTAGGATATTGTGGCACTATTAATGCTCGTGGAAAAACTTTGAGACTCTTAACGAGATTGTTGTTAAGAGTAATATTCAGTAATTTTCTCAGGCGCATTGTGGATATTTAAAAGTCAAATCTTTTACAATCTCTGAAACAAAATGCAACAGAAGGGCTTCAAGACAGTCTTGAAGGATCTGTAGCCTCTGTTTTCCCTAAGAGAGCAGAAGTGGTGCAGAGGGCTGTGTGCAGATGGGAGGCAGCAGAGGCATGGAGCTGTGTGTCCCCAGAGCTGCCTCGTGTGCTCGGGAGCACCCCCACCCCACACAATGCTAATGTATATGTTTTGTGCAGAGAGAGCAAAGAGGCTTCAGTCCCCTGACAAATGTGCTCCTGCTGTGTCACACTGTGCTACACTGTAAGGATTCCACAGGGTTAAATTTCAATGCCTAAACAATTTGTTCACAGTCTTTTCACAGTCTTTTTCTGATTCCTGACAAAGGAAATGATTGCACAAGGCAAACCTTCAAAGCGATCTGATTGTGTAGAGCACAATCTAAATCAGACCTAGCATAAATACATCTTTACATCCCTGGGCAGCTCTGGCCTAGGCCAGTGGCTGTTTGGCCTCTTGTTGCAGGATTCCTGGACGATGCCACATCCCATTAGGCTGTGGCAGTGCAAAGTCCTCTCCCACGTCGTTTGAGACCCTGGCAGTTCTGTGCTGGCAGGCTGCTTCTCTGCCTTGCACAAACACCTTGTGGCTGGAGGCTTCCCTGGAGGTACCTGTCTACACAAGACAGATCTAGCCCTTCACAGCAGAAGTGTTGCTAATTTGTATTTTACTAATGTAACTATGGCAAGAGTTGCATTTTCCTTGTCATGTTTCACAAGGTGTTTCTTCAGTGTTTCTACTCCATCCTCTCATTTGGTTTAGTCATCATCTAAAACTATATTAATGTTTGTAATAACTGCTCTGGCAGGCTTCAAGTGTGTATCATTTGTCTCAATTTTGTATAATAAAATATAGATTTGCATTTTAATTCCTTCAAATGCTGTTTTCATGCAAGTGTGTGACTGTGGTGCTAGAGAAGATGAACAACAGGCTCATTTTGCAGCTTGGCCCCTACACTTGCCTTTGGATGTTTGTCTCAGCTTACCACTCAACAGTGCCTACTTTGGAGCTTAGGACATACAGGCATTTCAAGTAAGAGTCCCTCTCACAGAGGTGGCTTATTAAGACACACAAAGATTATTGAGCCAGGGCTTTGGCAGAAATAAATGTAAGCCCTTAAATCATTTTGCCTGTTCCTTTGACTGCAGCATTGGAACTTTTCAACTCAAGTCTCTAAAGATCTTCTTTGGGGGCCTGAGCCATGAGTTCTGTCTGCATTACTACAGTTATTATTACATCTACAGATGTAAACCAGGGCCTTGACAGAACTTGTGGATGTGTAGAACTTTTACCATATTTCATTCAGCAGATGGATTAACTGGCCTACAAAGGCTCCTTTCTTTATCTGAATGACTGGAAACCTAGAGGATCTGAAAAGGGGAAATTCAAGGAGTTCAACTCTTGTGCATATAATGTGTTCTGTATGTCCAGAGGGATTTATCAAGGGATTGCTTTGTCTCATCTGAAGTGATCAAGCTGCTGGAGATCTGCATCTTAGCAAACAAATGAACAAAATGTTGAAGGAGTTGAATGGAACTGGTGGAGGAACTGAACCTCATTTGGTGAAATAAAGCATAAAGTTACTGTAATTAGGAAGTGGATGGAGTGTGAGTAGATCTTCAAGTGTTCTTGATTTGGTCTAGGGGGTTGTGAATTAGCCTGGCCCTAGGGGAGTTTTAAGTATGGAAAGTGCCATGGGATGCTTTCAACTTTATTATAAATTTGAGGCCTCTGAGTTCTGGGTATGAAGGGGTGGCAAACAATTGTCTCTTCATGTGAGGAATCTGTGAAAGCACACTTGCCTCTATTTCTTCCTTAATGGCCTGCTTGGTTTCCAGTATCTTGATTGTTGGAATTTTAGATCTCCCTTTGTGACCAGCGGGGAAGGAAATATGGAGTAGGACTGGATTGCAAAGCCAGTGGCTCCACTTCTCACACTGACATAGGATTGCTTTTATGGTCTTGGATAATTATTACAAATCCCTATGATTCATCATCTTCATCTGTGAAGTATCTGTTCTACTCCTTTGTTAACTTACAGAAGTGCTGGGAAAATTAAATTCATATGAGAAGCTGATGTAGCAGAACTTAAGTTCTTTATAACTAATACCATATTCAGAAAGAAATATTGTTCAAGAACCTACAAAAATTTACCTAGATTATTAGAACTGGAGTCGAACTAAGAGTCAGTGGATTTTGTGAGTTTCCTCATCTGATACAATTTAAAGGAATCACAGAGAAAGAGGAAAGTATTAGATCTTGTGACTATACTAAAACTATTGATGTTATTTTTGTATAATACTTAACTGATAATATTGATGCTACTGTGCTTTATTCTGCAGCCAGCTCTGTAATTTAGCTAGTGAAAATACTAATTACATTATTACCGCTGCACTGTATTTATAGATATGGCACAAAAGACCGAGTTAGCAAATATGTATAAGCAATACTAATGCATATTTCAATAATGAGAATGCCTTTTAAACCAGGAAATAGTTTTGTGCTGCCTTGCACAAGAAGTTACTCCTGCTTGGGTTAAGCAGGTTTCATGGCTGCATCCCTCCAGCCCAGAGGTCGGATCTCGAGGCTCTGAGTGCTCAGAGAGGTGCTGAGGGGCTGGGAGCTGCTGTCTGTAGCAGAAACCAGTTGTGTTCACTCTCATGCATCAGCAAACCATGGAGAGGAACAATGCAAGGCTACTCATGTCACCCGTTTAGCGTATTTCCACGGAAATTTTGAAGGCTTGCTTTTTCTTCATAAATATATGCTTGTTCCAACTTCCAAACTGAATTAAATTATAGGTACTCAGATTAACATTGGCTTTTCTGTATTTTATTCCTTTTGTAACAAAAATTAAACTTCAAGAGGTGAAAAAAGTGTTTTAATGTATATCTTTAAAACAAAGCTTTTGATTACTTGTTTGTGTCAATTTAGCAGCAGAACTCTTCATAATCTTATGACAAGATCTGTGCCCCTTGCTCTCAAGGAAAGTTTTGTCTTCACTGATGCAGACTGGTGATGTGTTTTATCCCTGCTGTCCTATTTATAATTAGGTCTGATGCCCTCTGAACACGTTCACCTTTCAATGTTAGGTCAGTGTTAAAGCCATTATCAACCTAAAAGGTTGGATTGCTATCAGGATCCAGTCTTTGTTGCCCCACAGTGCTATAAATTATATTACAATCTATTGTTAAAAATTAATAATATGCAACATAGAGGTCTGATGGAATCATGTTAATGAGAACACTGAAGCTTCATTGACTTGCAATATCATTAGAGCTCGGAGACAGGTTTATAGCCTTGTGCAAACTATATTTGTGTTGGTTTAGACACAGTATTTATTTGGTCACACCCAGCCAAATGTTTCCTTACTAAATTAAAATAAATGCTGGTTAGTTCAATGAACTACAAAGATATATAGTATAATTTCAGGTTCTCAAGTCACAGAAAATAAGCCCCAGCAATGGAAATCAGCAGAGAATCAAAAATTATGGATATACTGGAGTGAATATGAACAAAGAGGAAAGGGAGTTCACTGGGTTGGGTGCAGTTAATGTTTTGTGACTCAAGTAATGTGTAAAATTTGGAAATAACAGCTCCCATTTGTAGTCTGCCCAGGTCTTTATGTAAGTCATGCCTATATACACATATGTACACACTTGCAAGCATAGTAAACCAAAATGTAATCAAAATTACATCTGTCTGCTTTCACAAGACTTGCCTCTGTAAAGCATCTTTAGGGGCTGGTGGGCAGCTCCCGTGCTCACTAATGCCACCTTTATGGTACTGATTTCCATCCAGGCCAGCAGCACACATCTGATTTCCATTGCAGTGAGAATCAGATATTCATCACCTGTGCTCCAAACAGCTCTGCTGTTTCCTGAAAGCAAAGCAGAAGCAAGAAAATGACTTCCCTGCTTTCTTCTCCAACAGTGCTTCAAATGAGGGAATGGTAGGAAAATCTTTCTCGAATTGGGGAATGGCTCATGCTCTGTGTTGGAAACATAACCTGCAGCCATGCAGAACATGAGACAGAAAGGGAGGTTTGAAGAATCAGTAACATGCTGGTGTTGCAGCCCTTACCTGCTTTGGGAAATGGATGTTAAGAAAGCTTCAAGTTCCCCATCTCCTTTCATGGGTAACATCCTTGCTGTAGCTGTCCCCAAGTTTGGTCATGGGGCTCTGCCTCCTGCTCTGGGGCAGGTGATTGCATTAGTGACACTGTGACAGTGCTGCTCATGCCAGCCAAGCACTGGATTGTGATTCATACAGATATTTTTATTTTATGGAAATGGAAAGAAGGATAATTTAAGCAATTTATAAGCAGTTTAACAATATGAAACTTCCTTGCTTTCACTCACTCCAGAGGAAACCCTATACCGGCTTATCTATGAAGACTATGAGGTCTTGGAGCACACAAGAGACAGGGAAATTTGGCAGTGGGAAGCTGAAGAGGATTCAAGGAGAGTGGGCCTTGAGCCAGTGCTGCTTGTATGCTGTCCCAGCTAGTGGGTGGAACTGAAATGGCTCTGCTCTTAATTGCATGTGTCAAGACCCCACCCTACCTTGGACAGAGGTACCACACCCAGAGCATGTGCCGCCAGGCTTGAGACACTACAGATTCCTGTCCCTGCCTCCATCCCATGTCCACTTCCCATCAGTGCACCCACTTTGCCTTGCTGGCTCTGGCACAGCGAGGACTTGCAGCTCCTCAGGATGTCCCAGGGGTGATGTTCATAATGCTTTGAGGTTGAAAGCTGCTATGAGTGTTACGTGCTGTTACCGTTCGTCAGTGCCATCAATGTGTAGCTGACTATAACTCATATCCCTGTGATAATTCCCTTGGTTAAACTGAAGAAAATGAACTGTTTGGATGATAATGTTTTAAGAAGCTGCCATTTCAGAAGCTTTAGCTATGTCTGTGATAGCAAGACCTGACCGACAGCAAGAGCAGAAACTTGGCTTTCCCTCTGAAGTGTGGGGCTCCAGTTTGGACCACCTCTCCTTATTTTTGTATTTTTTTTTAATATCAGGCATGACCAACTAGTAATAAAATCTGTTAAATTTTTTGCCATGGACTCGAATTATCATGAAGTCATGAATCACTACCTTAGGCCTAGCCCTCCCCCTCCTAAGTGTTTTTTAAAATCCAGATTTGTGTTTTTTCTAACATAGTCGTACAATGTGAATGTTTGGTAAAATTGCCATTTAATTTACAATAGAAGACTGCTTTAGCAGCTGTTTTATAGTAGTTTAACTACTCTGACCTAAATGACTGTTCTTAAGAGATTTAAAAGTAATTGAAAATGTAAAAAAGTCCAAGACCATCCTTTTTTTTTTTTTTTTTAAACATCTTTCAAATGGCTTATAAACAACTTGAATTCCTCTGCAGAATTCAGATGAGAGAGGAAAGAATGTCAGTTTACTGGGAATTGTTCTCTGACCACCTGAGAAAAATGAGTTTTTCATCCCCTTGAACATCATCTGGAGCTATAATAAAACATGCTCTCAGCTGGATTCCTTCTGTGTGAAAATAGACAGAGCTACATCATTGCTCACCTAAAGGAAGCACAAAGAAATATAAAAGCCATCTAAAATCTGGATTTTTTTTTCTTCTTCTCTGAGGCCACAAGTAATTTTCTGTAATCTCAATGAATACTATTTGAATTTTGAAAGAAGGATATATGTCTTCCTTCGCCTCGATGTGAGCAGTTCAAATGAACAGAGGTAGACATATTTTATACAGAGTTAAGTCACCTGTCAGGATCGTAGTGTGAAAACCCTTAAGCAATCGCTATTGAAGGAACTGCAAAAATCGACAAAACTAAAAGCAAGTCTTGAAAATCTACAAATAAAAACTTCAGCTGA